CCCCCCCCCTTCTAAAATTAATATTTAGCTGACTGACTGTCTCTATCTTCATACTTTCTGATATTCACTTGTAATAGGTAGCGATATGCTCTGATTTGTACCAAACCTGACCCAATCTACTGCGGCTAGGGCATTTCCATCCCAGCAGCTGCATGTAAACAAAGGGCCAGGATGCTGGTGACATCCTTGGATTTTATATGGTCCCATTGCCATGTTTAGTTAACTACATTGTGGCTATATAAGGTCACTGATATCACCAGCAGCATCCCGACCCTCCTACAGCCAGTTGGGTTCGACTCTGAGCTCATCCCTAGTAACAAGCAGGCAGATTAGAAAGCTAAACTGAAGTCAGAACTCCTGATCCGCATTCTTGATCAAGGTCAGTGCTTCAAGCATTGAAAGCTAGGCAGCTAGCAATGTCAGAAGGAGATGTCAGCAATGCATTCTCCATATTCTCTTACTACAAGTTTCCTTTAAGGCAAATGTGTCTTATAAACCAAAAGCCAGACCTACCTTCCGGTGCCTGAACTTACATTTAGAGCTTGTTTGTTCACCACTGCCACCTCCACGTATGGAGGGGAGCATGTGACACGCCACTTGGTTCCCCACAGTGTAGCACTTGAGTCCTGAGGGGCACATCATTAGGTGTACAGCAATTAGTAATGTTGTTACAACTTACAGCTTTTTGGGGGTATTTGCTTGGATTGGAGTGGTGGGGCAGCAGCAATAAAAGAGGGTGTAAAGCGCTGGCTAAGCTAAGGTAGGTTCTGTCTCAGATTCACCATTTTTTTTGCATCAGATTTATGTGCTGTATTTTGAGTGCTAATGGAAGTGTCTAAGGAGAAAACGTGTGCATATATATGCGTGTGTGTATATAATATAATCTCTTACTGTATATACCTTTTACTTGGATGGAAGAATGTGAAAGCTCAACTAAACTCAAACTAAAATGTAATATATTGCAGCTTACCAGTCCATAGATATACTGGCTGCATTTGTTACCATTTCAGCCTTATCTCCCTGTATTTTTCCCTGTTTGTTATGCCAATAACACGCTTTCTGTGCTAAAGTGGTCTATGGCGGAGCAGGGCATTCACCCTAGGCTGTTCTACTAAGTTGACTGTAAAAGCCTCCCACTCTCAACATCTCTGTTATATAGAGGGGAATAGCTTTGTAGGTGACAAAAGATCGCTGGGGAAGCTGATAACATTGTTTGACATATCCGTTCAGTGCTCAGGATGCTACAATGATGCACAAATGTGGGCAGGATCAATAGGTATTTTTCTGGCTTTATTCTGTTTCTGCTGAGCTGCAATACATGACATTTTTGTTCTTGGATTTTACTTTAGTATTGAACCTTCTGAAAGCTTTAAGTGTTCTCTTATTCTCAAGCCATTCTCAAGTGTTTGAATAATGCCGTGGACTTAAAAGAATGTCAGCTCTAAAGTATTAGCTAATACCCTTTAATGTGGGTTATCTTTCTCTTTACAGCTTGAAGCCACTTTGTAGATTGTATTTAGAAAGCTCTGTAATGAAGTATAAGCCACTGGGCAGTCTGAAGCGAACAAGAAATGTGAAATTGTTGGAGGAAGGTAAGAAGAGTTACATTATTTTTTTTAAATCAGATCGTTTTTATTACATTTTCTTGTAATACAAAACCAGAACAAGAAAAAGGGACAACAGGGGTCAAAAGAAGGAAAAAAAGGGGGTTCACCTATATAGCCCATACCAGGAACATAATTCCAAATCAGAAAAGTAGAACAAGAACAAAAATACAAATACAGCACAAATAGGGAGCTATGATAAACATATGGAGCTGTTACTTTTGGATAAAATGCAAGGGAAGTAGCTACAATACAAAAGTAAATCTTATCGGGTAAACCAGGAGCACGAAATGACAACCATTTGGACCAGACTGAGAAAAATTTGTTTAAAGTACCCCTCGACTGATAAGTGATACGCTCAAATGCAATAAGTCTATCAAATTCCACGCACCATGCAGATACCTTGGGAGGGAAAGGTGAGCTCCATCTACATACAACTAGGCAGTTGGCTGTAAATAACGCATGTTTAAGTGCTATTACTGTATGGGAGTCTAAGTTGGGGTTATTAATGATGCCCAAAACACAAAGAAGGGGAGAGTTGGTCAATACAGTATCAAAAACAAAATTGAGGGTGCAAATTACCTTGTGCCAATAACGCATGAATTTAGGACATCTCCATAGCAAGTGAGTTAGAGAGCCTTGGTGAAAACCACGCTTGGGACATGAGGAATCAGTTCTAAAGCCCTTGAATTCAGGGGTACGGTAAATTCTGTGGACAATAAATAATTGTGGCAGTCTGTGGGAGGCAGAGAATGAGACCTGCGTGACGTTTTCCATATCATCCCAGCGGTCGTCAGAAATGAAGCCCAGGTCACTTTTTCAGCCTTTCCTGCAAAGCAGACTGAGACTGAGCCACAGATTTGAGTAGAAATTGGGTGTATAGAAAGGAGATGATACCTGTTAGTATGTAATGAATAGCGCATCAAAAACCAGAGTGAGAGAAAATGTAGAAATTGTGTTAGATAACTGAGACCATAGTGCATGGCGTATCTGGAGGAAATGAAAAAAGCAGTGTTTATGTAAATGGAATTGGGATTGTAAGTATTGAAAAGAGAAGAGTTAAATTTTACGCGGTCTGTTATCCATATTCAATCATTGGAGTAGGTGCCATTACTAATGACATTCTGTGGGGCAGATGTATAAATTAGGGCTGCAACTAACGATTATTTTCATAATTGATTAGTTAGCCGAAAAACACAAATGCAGTGTTACAAACAAAGTTTACTTCTGAATAAAGTTGCATGCACATTTTTTTGCAATTGCACTGCACAGGAATGGACAATATTGGCTGCACCATGCATTCCAGTGCGGGCGATCACACTGTGGGAATTGCGTTTGGGGTGCCATTGAAATGAATGGCACTGCAGCACACCTCATGCAGCAGAATTTGTCAGGCCGAAACAAAAAATGACTCCCCCCCACCTTTTTATATATATATTTTTTCAATAATTGTATCGTAAGCACATGGCACTTGATTAGCTTCAGCCAGGGAATGACAGCTGCCAGTGGCTAGATTCCGCAGATGCAGCTGAATGTAAATACAGCAAGTAGTGGGCTGGAGAAATAGTCAGACTGCTATTGGACATTTCAAATTGTAATAGCAGGCTGGCTATTACACCCGCCCACTGCTTGTTGTGCCCTCCTCCCAGTGTGGAGGAGAGAGCTAGGGGATCCAACCAAATAATCTATCATGCGAATAGTTGACAACTATTATTATCGATTTAATCAATTAGTTGGTTGCAACCCTAGTATAAATGTATGGGGGACAGCGGGTATTATACTTGTCCTGTGTTTTCACAAGTAAAATAAGGCTTTAGTAGAATGCTGCAGTCGCTGACATTCAGTATGTGTATGAAACATCTTCTGATATCTTCTTAATCTATTCTGCATGAAGATGTGTTGGATTTTGAAGTTGAACTATGTAGAATCTTTGCCAGTGAAAATCAAACATTTTATGCCACCATGAAGAATGATGGGGTACAGTAATGTATGCATCAGTGCCATCTGTGTACCCTCCACAAGTAGATAGTCCCAAAAACAAAACTAAATTGGCTGGTTTATGGAGCTCTCAGAATGTGCATGTAACCAGGAGCCACAAAATGTCTGTGGACTTGGTGGTTGGTGCAGTTCTTACAGTCTCCATTTAATGTTATATTGAAGTCGAAATGTTTTTAAGCGATTTCAAATGCTGATTTAATAACTTACAATAAATGCTGCTTTTTGATGCTTAAATGTTGTAGTTTCCTATAGAATCAGCTGATCCCCCTGAGCACTGATATCCTGTTTTAGGGTGGCTCCTTTTCCTTGCAGGGTCCTATGGAGTGTGTGTGTGTGTCTACAAACACACAGGCAGGGCAAGGCAAGCTTCTCCTCTGCCCTTTGCTCCTCCCTTCTCCAAGCTAGCAGATAGCTGGAGATTGTGGTGTCTCTTGTGATCTTCTACTGGACAGGAAGTTTAGGGAAGCCAAGCAGAGAAAGTCAGAGCTGTTTGGAAACATGATGACTGTAAGCTCTTGGACAAAAATGTAAAGAAATGCTTTACTGGGCAATGTATATTTGTTTGATTCGGTTCATTATTTTAAAGTTATGCGAGGTGTAAGTTTCAGGATCATGCACGTTTCTGCCCATGGACTATGCTTAACGTGTTCTAACGTGAACTTATCTCTGATTTTTACAGATGAAGATGGCAATGAGGATTTGTTCGATGATTACCCATTGACTCATTTGAAGCAAAAGATTTTCAAGGATGACACATGGAAATCAGAGGAAAACCTCTTGTCTGCTTGTTGTGAACAAAGCAAGCCTAGAGAGAACCCCACTACCTCCCCAGCTCCTGCTAGCACACAAATCAATTTTTGGGATTGTGAGGAGTCCAATGGAGAGGATGATGATGAAGAGGAAGAAGCTGATACCCCAACGTATAACCCTAGTGAAAGTGGCAAGTCTTCTGTTGAGGCCACAGATTTCACTGAAAAGAAACCAGATGACAGCTGTACAAAGGCACATGTCAAAGCTGCAGAAGACGTGGTGCCAAAGTGGAGCACTTTCTTCAAATCTTCTTCTGTGGAAGGGGATGAAGCCTTGGACAATGAAAGCAATGTGGGAAGTACAAGGCATGACAGGAATTCACAGTCCCCAATACTTATTAGTGATTCAGATGATGATTCGACTCATATATCCTCCATGAATTCCTCCCAGTCTACTCACATCTCCGAGCAAGGTAGTCAGGGATGGGACAATCAGGCTGACACGGTGCTGTTGTCATCACAAGAAAGGAGAGCTGCTGAACTAGCATCTGGATGTAGATCTTCTTATTGTATGTCAGAGAATGTCTTACCTGGAGAGACCAAGCCAGAAGGAGGACAAGGTAATACAAACTGTCCCCTTACTCATGATGCAAAAAACCTATATGCTGCAGTAAGTAAAACACAAGGGGAAGCGCCGGACCAGACAAAGCATGAGTGTGATAGGAATGCACACTCTCAGGGCTCATCAGACTTCGAGATACCTTCATCACCTGGGGCCGAGCTGCCACATCCAGGCAAACTCCAGTGCCTTTATCAACAACTTGCCACGGGGGATGCTATCACACTTCAAGAAATTTGACCGTGACATCATTTATTTATTTCTTTACACAATAATTGAAATTAAAAAAAAAATATATATATAAGATTAACTTACATTCCAGTGAATACCACATATACACATATTGGGGATCAATATTTTTTTATATTAAATATAATGAAAAGTGCTTTCTAGATTTCATAACTAACTATTTTTACTTTTGTTATAGGAGATGTAAATTCAGATTTGACGTCCATTCATTGAAGGACACAACAGCGATCTTACATCTCTAACAATAGGGTTATAGTGCCACCTTCAGTAGTAGTAGAGATGTCACCAGCACACCATTGATTCAATGTGATAAGCAAAAGTCAATTTATTGAAGGAACATAGCCATTCAAGAACTAGCACTTTCGGGGGCCACGCAGTGTCCCCTTCATTAGGCTCAGAATGACCCCAAATAAATGAACAATATACATTATATATAGACCCTACGGATTCCTTGGATAGTCGCTGGATTCTTTCCAAAACCTTCTTGTTTTTGGCACGCTCTACCTTGCCATTTACTATGCCCACAACAGCGTTAGGGGACAGTCGAGACTCATGTGCGGGGATCCAGCCTTCCTTTTTTCCTATTTTTCAGTTCCACTCCAAGTTCAGTCGTCGTGGGACAGCTTAGCTCAGTCTTTGAACAAACTAACTCACCAGGCACCACTTACCAGGTTTTCTTTTTCTGGCTCTGGAATTGGGTTAATTGCTAAACTGATCTTTAAGGATGACAGCTTGCTAGTCTGGCAAGGGGTCCTAGACATCTTTTTGGTGCAGGGGCCATGAGAGGAATTCCATTTTCTGCTTAACTGTAAAGGTGACCCAGTGATCTTGTCATGACGTGAACAGTGGCGAGGATCAACCTTGGTAAGGACTTTACATTACAGCCCTGCTTTTCTATAACTTTTTACAGTGACTTGGAGACTAGATTTGAGGGACTAAGCTCTATCCACTGGAGTTTTCCAGGACCTGTGTCATAGGTGGGGGTCATTGAACGTGGACTTTCTGGTTTATTTTTAACCCCTGGATCCAGGATCCTGTGTTGGATCAGTGGAGGCTCTGGTTTCTCCATGTGATCAGCATGACCTCTTCTATGCATTTCCCCCTCTGCAGCCCCTTCTTGTCTGCTCCACAAGCTTGATTGTAGACTTTTTGCTGTTTCTCATAGGTCTAATTTGGCCTGGGCGATTCTGATGCTACGACCTACCACACCGCTGGTGTATACTTCACGGACTCTTCCTGTCAGTTCACCTGCCTTGGGACAGTTGCTTAGTGTTTCCTGCCCCTCAAATGTCACCAATTAGGGACATCCCTATGGTCAGAGATTCAAGATCGTTGCTGTGTCCTTTAATGAATAGAAGAGAAAATATTTTTGTACTAACCGTAAAGTTTTTTTGAAGGCCACAGCACCCTCCTCCTCTGGTTGTTTGTTTGTGACCAGTTGTTCTATATGTACTGCTGTGACTAACTGAGCTGCCTCTACTAGGGGGTTTGCCCACCATCAGGGGATGCCCCTAGGCTGTGCATTTGTTTTTTGCCTACTGTCCTGCTCCTGAAGGTGGCGCCATAACCTTGTTGTCAGACATTCAAGATCTCTGCTGTGTCTTTCAACAAACGCAGAGAAAATGATTTTGGAGTCAGAAAAAAAAACTAGGGGCTAACAAGCCAGATTGCTTGAATGCGAACAGACATCGCTGGCTGTTTAAAATGGTACCAAGTTCACAGCAGCAGCCGTGATCTAGGTAAAACTATCTGAATGTTTATCTAGGTTTAGCGGACCTGAACCAGTTAATATAATTTGAACTCTACTGTAGAAATACATTACGTATTGCAGGAAGTAGTTCTTTGTGGGAACCAGCGATAATAAAGTACAGAACTCTAAATAGACCTTTTTTCTGTCAATGGGGTCAATGCACAAAGCTTGTTTTCTTCATTTTGCACATATTGCTCCTGTGTCAAGGTATTCAGTTCAGTTTAATTCACGGTATAATATGTTAGTTATTTTAATAACCAGAATGATAAAATATGTTTAGAATGCAATTCACAAAAAGAAAAGTGGTGGGGTGTAAGGGTGGCATGACAGATTTCAGGCTTTATCTGATGCTTCTTGCACTGTGATGAAGTGAGGTAGTTAGAAAAATGTTCCATTTCTTCCATACAAATTTGGATTTTTCTTTTTTTACAGTGGAGGTTATCAACAGATTTCACCCTATATGAAAAATGTAATTCTTCTAAACACCCATCAGTGGTGTTGTAGTGCAAGTGGATTGTTCCATGCCACAAATTTAATATCAAAATAGATTTAGGGTGGTCAGGAGAATGACTTCCCTCCCTGTACCGTCTGATTATCAACAAATGTAGATATAAATCATCCTAATATTTTAGATATTAATCTGTTCAGAAAACCCAGAGATTGCTATTTTATGAATTATTTATTTCCTAAAATCTAAAAAGAGTATAAAGCTGGCAAAGATATTTCTGATAACTGGAATCTTCACGTGGTCAATGTGAAACTAAAACAACAGAGTACTCCATCCCTTCTGCTGCTAACATGCTAAAACACACACCCAATGTTATTTTATCGCAGTAACGGATACAATGTAGTCTGTGGTGGTAAAATAACACTTGCTGAATGTACACATACCATATGCTAAACTGAACATGCAATAACAGTTCCAGCAATCAAAACAAGAGCGGTAAAAGAAGAACAGATACATTCACTTCTACTCATAACATGGAGCTTTTTGAACTGATGAAGAGGAATATCACATTTTGATGTTTATTTTATTGTTTTTGTTATTATGATATAGCAATACTGTATATGGTACCAGAAACCGTTGCTACCTCTCAATTAAAGTATATCTAAACATTGATGCCATGTACTTATTATTGTACTTGTATTGGGCGCATACAAGAATAGATGCGGTTTATTCCACTTAAAACAACTATTGGAAGGTAATAGAAAGCTGCAGTATTTGGAAAATAATTATTTGCGGGAAATTAGATTAAAATGGTCATGTAAAAGTTATAACTATATATTGTATAGTGAAATCTGCAAAGAAAAGTTTGTTTTATAGACCATTTTATATAACGGAAGAGCTGGTCCATCTGCAATTTGCAAATTCTCCCCTCTGGTGTACCTCAGGTTCCAGATTTTAACAAACTGGCAGAGGGTTGGCCAGAACTGTTAGGGAACAAGTATAAAGTCTTTATTTGGAAGCACCAGAGGCAATCATCATCCCTCACAAGGAAGGAGTACTGGGCATATGTGCAGAGCGCAGCCCCAATACAGTCAGGGGAACTGGGACATCTGTAAGAAAACACAAAGAAGGGCGCCTTTCCTGGTGCAGATCGGTTTATTCCAATAAACAGGTTCAAAATGAACTACAAGAGTAGAATGATATAGGCTGCAGGACAATGTAAAAACCGGAGCAATGACACTTCATCTATCTATACACAGGACGCACTACACGGATCCCTTCATTGCTCCGGTTTTTACATTGTCCTGCACCAGGAAAAGCGCCCCTCTTTGTGTTTTCTTTCAGAACTGTTAGGGAGTCTGCAGTATAACACGATATAGGATTCTCCAGAGAATGGAGTGAATGTGGATGGGGTACAACCTTAAAACCCAAGTCCCCACTTGGGCATGGATAAGGGGTGCAAAGAAAACTTGGAAGATGCACTGCTTTGTGCAGTAGCATAGTAAAAAATTAAAGGTAGTTAGGGCTCACTGAATAAGGTGCCACAGACACAGAGTTAGCCTGTGGGCCAAAAGGAGTGTCGTCAGCACTCAAATGCCACAGGCAAAATTACCCAAGGACCCGTCCAGATGCACACAAAGCCCCCACTTTGAGGAAATCCATGCATTCTGACATGGTTTGACAGAATAAAGTCACGGTCAGCATGGGATGGAGGGCGAGATCAGTCAATTTAAACTTGGATTTAAGTAGGAACTCAAGCAGCCTGTCAGTGGAAGCCCAAAAGATGAGGATGCCCTCAGCCAGCCTAATGGTATTCCTGTTAACGAGGATCACTGGTGTAGAAGTGTGCACACAGGATGCCCCAGTAACTGAGCACAAACCACAAAAAAGTCCTAAATGCACATGGAGGTCCCTATGGACATGGGAGACTCTGCTTCACCCACAGAGCTGAGGAAGACTTTAAAAGATGATAATCCTTTAACAATAGGGGTCCCAGGTCCTGGTTACTTTAAAAGGAGAACTATGAGGTGAGTGCTCTTCACTCATCCTCATAGTTCTAGCCGACCTGTGACAATGAGACTGTCACAGGTCGGCTCAGTAGATCGGGAGGTGAGCGAACACATACCGGCGTTCTCTCTCTTCTCGCGCTTGTCACGGCACAGAGCCGTGACAGGGGAGGGACTGGATGCCCCCCTCCGATCCTCCAGCGCTGACTGGCGGAACGGACGGGGGAGGGTACAGCTGACTCTGCCTCTAGATAGGCAGAGCCAGCTGGGCGGATCCAGACATAATTGTCGGGATCTGTTTCAGCTGCGGCGTCTCAGCTGTAGCTCGCGGTATACTGAGCTTAGGGTGACGGGAGGACGCTAGTTTGTGTGCTCCCGTTACCCTAAGGAGAACTATGGGGAAAAGCCCTGACCCCATAGTTCTCCTTTAAAGAGTATTGCGTGAACATCCCAAGAACCACTGGGAGAGTATGGGCTGAGGTCTTAGCCAAGACATATTGATTTATAAACTGCATGTATATTATTTAAAGCCTCATTCACAATATAGCGTGAATGTGGGTTTTTTGGATTGGCGGGGGCAGGAAACCCAAATATACCATTTATAGACGGCCACTGTCATCCGTTCAAGCTAATGATACGGTGATAATGGCCGCATTTGAAAGCGGCAGTCTCCCGGCACTCCGCATGTAACTGTACATGATATGACATGCAGTTAGGAATAGATGACTATCCCTGGACACACGATGGATGGCTCAAGGGATAATGAGCTATTCCTAACTGCATGTCATCTTATCACATTCTTCCTCCTTTTATCAGGCATATTCATTACCAACATTCTAATAGAACACCAATTATTTTAGCTGCAAATTGCAGCAGTGTTGTTGGTCCTTGTTCAATTTGTAAAACATTACTTTTAACTGAGGGGCTGTTTCTTTGTAGAGTTGCGAGTCCCTGAAAATAAAACAATTTAATTCTACCCTTCTCATAAAATGTACTTAACTATTTTCCCTTTAGATTTCTTTATCCAGCGTGTACATATTCACATCACTTAATACAAATGTTCAAAAATATCAATTTATTAAGCATAAGACATTTCTTACAAAGTCACTCAAATATCATCCATGTTCTTTAAAAATAAACCTGCTCACAACATAGCAAATATACACATCATTTGTTGCAAATGTGTTGGTGTTAAAGTTCATTAAAGGAATCCTCTGCAAGTTGAAGCTCCACATTTGCAAGCTGTCCTTACTCTCATTTTAGCGGGACTTAGCTCAATAGAATCTGTACTAAAATCTCCAGAACCTGAAAGTACAAGAAACGTTTCAGGAGTATGTGGTTTTAGAAATGAAGCCTTCCTGAAATACAATTGTGTGCAATTTACACCCAAATGAAACAGTGGAAGCTTCTAATGTAGATGTTTGACTGAAGAATCTATCTTCCCTTCTAGCAACCTATTAGTGCCTTCCTTGCATGTTCCAAGAAACAAACTGATCGCTAGGAGGAAAATACAAGTACTAAAGACATTTCATACATAAGGCCAACATATGGGGATAACAGTATAGAAAGCAGCCAAGCATTTTTGTGATGGTGATCTTCTACCCTTCATCCTCTCACACTGGGCTCAAATTAGCATGAAAACCATCATCTGCATAAGTTCCATGGATAACGGCAATATGAATTCCATTATACAATACTAGGTGTAAATCAGATGACAAGACTGACCTGTTTCTCAGAGGCTACAACACCCCTCCCCAAAAATTAATGACATCATTCTACAAACAGTATAACCATGTACTGTATGCCTTTTACTGCTCGCCCACTAACCCACAATAATACTCAGTGATCATTTACTGTATTCAGGTTAACAAAAGATTTACTTTACTTGCAATTGATTGGTGCAGTTTATTGATTTCACTTTCTGAAGTCCATTGAGCACAAACATGAAAAATAATGTAATTGCATACAAGTGTGTGTATAAAAGTTACCTTTCATTTGGTAGTCAAATGAGAGTTCTTCTCCAGCTTTAATAGGTCTTGTTGAAAATAATGCAATACGAGGGAGGCGCACATCAAGATTGTCTATGAAGACATTATACACTTGAAGGTTGGGATCACACTAAATGGAAAGACAGAACAGTTAGGAAAAATAGTTCTTAATGGTATCAAGAAGGCGCGACAGAAAAATGTACCCCTCAGCTGCTTCAGCAAATGTCTGCTATCAAAGCATCTAGGTTAAAGCGGAACTCAAAGGAAGCATAATACCAATTGTGTGGACTACACGTTATACAATCTGGAAACATGTTGGTAGCCTCCAATACTATAGTTGGGAAACACAACCACTGCATTAGGTAAGGGCATAGCTTCATTACGAGTAACTTCTATGAGAGGTGTGATCAAAAAATACGGTGAATGATTAAAAAAAAAACATTATACAGTAAAAGACACATTGCCATGAATCCCCCTGAAAATACTCCCCCCACGCTTAGAACACACTTATCCCATCGTTCTTGCTACTTTCTGAAGCAGTTCTCGAAGTCCTCTTTCGTTAGTGTTTTAGTTGCGCTGTTGTGGCGGCCTCAATTTCCTGAACTAATTCATAATGTTTACCTTTTATGGTAATTTTGACTTTGTAGAAGAGCCAGAAGTGGCACTTTACCAGATCCGGTGAATAAGGTAGATCAGGACACACCGTAATGTTTCTATTTGACAGAAATTGCCGTACCAGAAGCGATGTGTGACGCGGAGCGTTGTCATGATGGAAGATGAAACCCTTTGCCCATTTCTCGGGACGTTTTCTACGCACATCGTTTCATCAAATCATTTCACTTACTCTTTCAACATTCTCTTGGGGTTTTGATGCTGAAGGACGTCCTGATCTCTCCTCTTCTTCAACCGATTCACAACCATTGCAAAATCACTCCAACACTTGTAAACCGTCTTCATGGTCACTGCAGCATCACCATCAACTAATATTAACATTCTGTGTGTTTCTTTACCACGTTTGTGCAGTTTGAAACAAAATTTCAGCTCAACGTGTTGTGATGTTCGTGATCCATGATTCACGGCACTTTAAACGCAACTTCATTCAACCGCAGCTCACAACTGACTGCACCGAACAAGCTGAAACTTGTCACACACTGTTACTAAGGAAGGTTCGCACGCCGCTTCTCGTATTGAAGAGCCCTGCCTTCCGTTGGATGGTACTCCGCAGCAGCATTCCCCATATTTTATCACACCTGGTGAGAGAACAATTCTCCCACCTGTCAAACTCTTTCTGTCATTCCCCACTTTGGAAGCAGTTTCCCTCACCCCACTTGTACACATTTTCCCTTCAAGGCACAACACAGCTGTAAATCTATACACTGAAGACTGTTCTGCATGGCGGGCCTCCTGCGGATTAAGAAATGCTAAAAAGTGTAAACAAATGTCAGTCTCTTATGGAGTAATAACTTTTTTTCTCAGCTATGTGCAAAAGTTAAAGTCCTCCAGTACAGATATGTAATGTACTGACAGCTATAAACTTTTGCAGATTCATAATCCGTATAGTACAGATATAACCAGAAACATGCTCAGACACACAATCAGTACTGTAGTGACACTAAATAAAAACATGAATGTCACAAACCAAGTGCCAATGGATTTTTGCAGCACAGGAGGTGCATAATTAAATGCAGCGTAAGTGACTTGTGCAATGTTGCATTTTGACAATATGGTTTATGTTACATTGACTGCAGACATTTGGTAAATATAAGACCACTTACACTGTGATTTACAAAGTGTGAGACATTCCCGTATCGAGCAGCATCCACAGTGAACTCATCTGACTCATAGTCCAGATCAAATAGGTAAGTGATTCCCGTGCTGTCATACTGCTGACCCCTTCTTTCTGCCTCTTCACTTGTTATTACCTGAAAAAATATATAGATTACTATATTGTCTCAGTGCAACCAGTCAGCCTTAGGAAAAGAATGCTTTTTAACATAAAAATATTTCTTTTTTTTGCCCCCAGTTTTGAATACACTGGGTAAATCCAGAACATTTATTAGGTTTTATTGCTGCGTTTATGCTGACCCCCATTACTAGAAGGGAGAGAAATCCACAAGAGTAAAACAGCATAAAAAAACAGCATAAAAAGGTCTAACATTGGTTCAAATCCTTACTCACAGTATTCATAACCTAAATCTCCAATGGGTATTTATAATAAGCTTAAAAGAGAACTATGGGGTAAGTGTTCTTCCACATAATTCTCTTTAGGGTCATGGGAGGACATACACTAACCTCCTCATGTGACTCAAAGCTCAGGAAAATCACTCACCTCATAGTTCTCCTTTAAGACTTAAGTAAAATAGTTATATATAAAGCCAAAGCTTGTTTTTGCAATTTGGATAGCTGATAGGAAGGTTTAAACCACTGTCAGCTGCCTCAACAGGAAGTGAAAGGATACTTTTCCAACTGAGTTTTGGGTTACGGGAGGACGCTAGTATACAGTATGTCCTCACGTGACCCTAAAGAGAACTATGGGGAAAAACACTTACCCCGTAGTTCTCTTTTACAGGAAAACCAGGTGAGCTCAGAATTTTAACTGGCTTAATATAAATGAGATATGCAATATGTGCCAGTATTTCCAAGTTAATTTTTACTTCCCATGTTAAAGCGTTCAAAGTGAATCAGCAAACAATATGTGTAAACTGTCTTACCTACCAAAAAATTATAATTAAAGTTCACTTAGTTTTCTACTCCAAACATCACATAACATTTTGATCATTTACTTTTCCACCAATACAAGTTGGTTTAGACAGTGATTGGGAAGTGAGGAGGGAGAGAGGAGCCCACAATGGTATCATCCACCTGGCTGTGCTATACGAGAGAGAGAGCTGTGTAGGGCCTGCGCCAACATTCTGAGTTTGTGTCGATGGCATCAGTTTGCATTTGACCTGCTTTAAGTGGGATTTCTATTCCCAAAGACATGTATGGAGGTGCAAAACCCACATAATGCAAACAAAACCATAACACAAGCCCTTAAAGCGGCACAAAACTCAGGTTAAATCTTAAAAATACATTCAAGTACCTTAACCATTAACAAAAATGTATCTTATTTGTAGATTGGTGGTGACACTGTCCTTCCTTCTGGAGGGTGGCTACTTTTGTTCCCCATAGTCCCTGTGTGTGTTATAATGTAGTCACCTCCCCTAGCTCACTCCCATCATGGACTACAATCTCAATACAAATTGGTAAAGGATTACCCAGATATATTGGAATTGAACAAGTGATCTGTACATGAAATATTTACCAGATTGATTAAAGTACACAGGAACAATGATATTTACAGATCCTTTTATTGCATACCTCACCAACATATTCCATAACAAAGCTGTTCTTCTTGATTTTCTGAAGCGTTTTAACCCCCCAGCCACGTCCATTCTCTGTCCTAAAGATGCATAGAGAGTAGGGGGGTCCTTTCTGTACCACTCGGTTGGGACAATCTGGACCACATTTACATCTAGCGTTGCATTCATAAATAGGGCGTCCGGGTGGAATCCTAATTTGTTTGTGCTCATTGTAAGCAAAAAGAACCCCTGCCTCGTTAGGGCAACATATACCTGTAAAGCAGTCAGTGCATTCACAGCCAACAATGGCTTCACCCAAGGTATTAACTCCAGGTGTGGTCTTGTAATCATTAATATAATAGAAGTCTCTGGGAGGCCCCTCAATGTCTACATCATTTTCTACATAGAGCATTCCGGCATGAGTTTTTTTTCTGTTCAGTTCCTCCTCCCAGCGCTTGAGTGCAATTCGTTGTTTAGCCTTCTTCACTATAAAGTCAGCAGCAGAGTTGCCCACAGATTTAATGTTTTTTTTTATCTTATTTAATTTACCAGCATTTAATTTAGATAAATAGATGTAAAGGTCATTGTAAAAATGTTCTAAAAGTGCTGGGCACTTGAGGTTTGCAACAGGTTCCCATGTATTATACGACTCTGGCCATCCTTTCCATTTCACAAAAAAGTATTCTGCACCCTTCAAAAGAAATGTGAAAAAAGAATTGTGAACAGAAATAATTTCTATAAAAACGCTGTATAATCTACAGAGGATCAGGAAAGCAAAACATTACACTTCACCACTGAGCAAAAACTACATATGCAGGGGTGTGGAATTCCTATCGCCGACAGGCAGTTTCGGGCGTCAGGCGAGTAGTTTTTTTCTACATTTAGCCTGCCTGCGGGCAAGCAGCACTGCTAAATGTAGTGTGGGAGCCGTTTTGTATGAGGGCTGTGCAGCCGTCCAAAAATCACTTGTAACCTGCCTGAATCTCGCTTCTCCTCTCCTCGCCCCTCCCCCTCCCCTCTCTCTATCTCTATCTCCAGCGGCCGGCCGTGTACTGCTCTCGGCTGCCTGTCTCTGCACCCGGGCTTCTTTTTTGCCGTAGTCTTCGCCCCCTCTTGTGGGGGATTTATTACCACGGCAAATTAGGTTCGAGAGCAAGGCAGAGAACGGTTCTCTACTCTGCTCCATGTGTGCAGTGACACAGGAATGCAGCCTTCCTGTCACAGGAGAAATAGCACAGAGCTGTGCTAGAACTCCTGTGTTGGAGGTGACAGGGTCAATGAAGAGAACCTGTCACCTCCAAAAGCTATCACACAAGGGCTTGTTACCCTTGTGTGATAGCAATAAAGTCAAGTAAAAAATAAAATATATAACACTTAAAAATGTAAACATAAAATTGGAAAAAATAATAAAAATGTAAATACATAAAAATAGAAGAAAAAAAAGGCGATAAAGTAAAAAAAATTATGAAAAAAAATATTACAAAAGCAAAAAAAAAGTTAAATAAAATCTAAAAAATTAAAACCAGTCCCTATCATCTACATGCGAATAAACGCATGCATGGGGCATTGTGTGAGTGGAGTGGGCGATCCGTTACCACACGGCAATCGTGCACAAAACCGTGTGGATGGCCGGGGCGGTCACAGAATCTCACACCACCGCCGATCACGCTGGCAGTGCCATTATTGTCTAACAGCACCCCAGTTGCACAAGGCAGATTGCGCAGTTTCCCACCGCAATAACGCCCGTGCAAATGCACATAACCTCGATTGAAAACATTCCGAGATTACCACGCGGATGAGACCCCATTGAAATCAATGAGGCCGCGAGGCAACCGTACACGGCCTCGCCAAAGTCTGCACCCTCCCCAAAAGGTAAAATCACTTTCCCAACTAATTTGGAAAAATGGAATTACCCGCACAAATCTGGTCCAGACACCATGCCCCCCACTATACTTACCTTTCAGGGAACGGTCCTTCCCATCCGCCAGTATGGGTGTACTATCTGAATTTCGCTCTCAAAATTCAAGCACTCGTTGGTCAGCGCAGTCATCTGACGGCACTGACCAACGAGAAGCTCTTCTTGGCATTGCTAAATACGGTTATGGTTACATTTTTTTTCTTTTTTTGTATCAGGACAAGTAGATTTTCATGAGGGACAAGTAGATCAGGCCCCCACTTTAGTCCTTAGACAAGTAGTTTTTTTTTTAATTTCCACACCCCTGATATGCAATAAGCAAATATGGCTGCCTCATCTACACACAATTAGAAAACATATGCAAACAAAGTTTTTATTACACAATACACAATATTTTTAAATTTGAGAGAGAGGGGGGAAGAGGTAAACGGTCCCTGCTATCATTTGTTAATAAAAACAAAAAAAACAAGGCTACCCTGTACTAAAATTTTATAATATATGAAAATCTTAAAAACTAAAATCTATGACTGTTTCCCATTATACTTTGCTGTGGGGGTCTGGGGTATTGATAGGTACTTCATTTTACTGCTGCCACTGTATTACAATGGGACAGTGATCGGTTGATAAGCTTGAAGTCCCAAAAGCAGCTCGATTTCCACTGTCCTGCAGGCTTCAGGTTCTAGTAACCTAAGTGGCTCTATAAGCACCCAATCATTTTAACAGGGTGATTAATTTTACAGGCCCTCTGCTTTTAGAAAACATATAGTTAAGGGAATCAAACCTTTTTCATTTTAGCATATGTATAAAAAAAAATAAAAAATGGTCAGACAGTGATAAGGGTCAGGCTGATGGCATTCACATGTGTTCCAAAAACAAAAATAGCACTAAATATTCCTCAAAAGGAAAACAAATTTCTACATCTACACAAAAAGAAAAAAAAGGAAGGGGGCTTACCTTTTCCATTTTACGGTCACAGAGATACTCCACTTCATAATTATTAAGATTTCTTCTGTTTATCCCGATGCATTTGCAGATCAGGGATTCCTTGCGGCATATCTCTTGAAGGGTTTCATTAGAGGCAAGACATGGCACGCACCAAGCTGTAAAAGCAGAATTTACCATCACATTTCTCTTAAAGTTAGTCTATAGCAGGGGTAGGCAACATTGGCACAGCTGTTCTGAAACAACAAATTCCATAATGCCTCTGGGAGTCATACCTGTGGCTGTCAGGGTCTTCCAATGCTTCGTGGGACTTGTAGTTCCACAAGGGCTGGAGAGCCGAAATTGCCTACTCTTGGTCTATAACTTAATCTGAACAGAAGATCGGTGCTTTGAATTCCATTCTTATTTCCTCCCACAATTAGGTGAATGGAGTCCACCCATGGGCAACTAAAGTGTATAATGGTCTCAAAATAAATAAACCTGTTTCTGGAAGAACCAAGAGTTTGGCATGTAAACAAACAGCATCAGGAAGAATGGTGATCTCTCAAGGCAAGACTGGAGAAAGCACCAGAGTATGGATAGAACAATTGTCCCAGATCCTGAACACTCACAGCAGCACTGGTAAATCCATTATTACAAAATGTAAAGCAAACTGTCTGGAAATAAAAGAGACCAAAAGTAAATTGCTATATAAGAAAGCATCCCTCATTGGTTTGGACTGGTCATAATAGTGTATACCTAATGGTAGTATGCCTCACACCTCTACCACATGTACTACAAGCAGAAGGGTGGAGATTTGTGGGCTTGATAGTCGTCTAAACAGCAATGCCACAACTACTACTCACGAAATCTGGAACTCAGAAAAGTAGATTAAAATCGACTTCTCTCCTCCACTACTATGTAGGACCTGATCATTTGGCAAAACAGAAATGGTCACATGACACTCCACCATGGAAAAATAGTGTGGGATTGCTAAGTACTCCAAATTTTCATCTATGGCATGCACAAGTTGTGAGAAGTCTGGCTCATATTATATTTGAAAGGCAGCTTAAAGACCATTTCCACCTTTGCAGAGGGGGGAGCAGTCACCATCTGACCCTGGTGTCTGACTGATTTATCTGTGGCATCAGGGCTGTTTAGCAGAATCTGTTTAAACTTGTAAAGCCGACTGTCGGCTTTACAGTAGAAGCGATTCTGGAGGCTCAGCTGCTGTCAGATCGATTCTACGGGCCGGTGAACTCGTGTCCTCCCCCACCCAATGTCTTTCCTGGGCTTCGTTGCCCCTCCTACGGGCCTGGCTTCTTTGGTGTCAGCAGGAAGCTGTGGAGGAGATGGGCGAACCTCCATTTGCCAATCCCCTCTCCGTTCTATGGGACCGGGAGCGATGCAGATTGTATCACTTCCGGTCCCATAGCCGTCAGTGCTGGGCGTCTGAAGCCCAGCTATTGAAGTGCGATCTGCACTTCAATAGCTTATTTAGAGTGTAAAGGTGATACTAGGGGGTCTTTTGGACCCCCAGCATCACCTTAAAGACCTGTCACCACCATCTGCTATCACAGGAGGCTGAGCTCTCCTCACGCACTGCTCCACCTCCTGTGACAGCGTGTCAGGATGGAGAGCAGCGCTGTGGGCGGAGACAGCTGTCATAAAAGGCTGAGCTCTCCACCCGCGCTACCCCGCCTCCTGTGACCGTGTCAGAATAGAGAGAGGCGGTGTGGGCAGAGACAGCTGTCATTGCTGTCACAGGAGGCTGAGCTCTCCACCCGCACCGCCCCACGTGACAGCGTGTCAGGAGGGAGAGCAGGTACAAACACTCGTGAGTGTCTGTAAATAATTGAGGACATAGTATGGCGACTATATCCTCAATTATGAATGAATGGGAAGTGATCTACAACACCTCCTGAGGATGACGTATATATCAGCCACATCGCGGCATATCTGTGCATGCACTGGATGAAAACCAGGAAGAGATGGCAACACAGAAGCAGACCAGCAGCCAGAGAACTATACCTGCAGAGGAGACAACACTGAACTCCATGGACTAGTAAGTATGTTTTTTATTATTACTACAGAGGGACAATTATAAAGGGGAAATGTCATTTCGGTATGTCGGTAGGGTGAAGTTCCTCTTCAAAGCTAATGAGATAAAGTATATCTAAAACCAGTTTTTCGGTATCGAGTACTGATATTTCTTTTTCCCCTGGTACTCGCCAATACTGAAAACCCCATTATGGAAGTCGGCTCCATGCTCCCTCGTCACCAAGTGACCAGGAAGCAAGGAGCCGGCTTTCTGGCAATTCAGAAAGCTGAGAGCAGGTAATGACTCACCCCCCGGCTTCCTGATTGGCCGGGAAGCCAGCTCCATGCTCCCTGTCACTTGGTGACGAGAGCATGGAGCAAGCTTCTCAGCCAATCAGGAAGCCGGGGTGAGTCATTACCTGCCCCCCGGCTTTCTGATTGGTTGGTAAGCCGGCTCCATACTCCCTGGTGACTAGGGACCATGGAGCTGGCTTCCTGGCCAATCAGGAAGCCGGTGGCATGTAACGACTCGCCGCCTGGCTTCCTGATACCAGAAGTTCCGATATCGGAACAAGCATCGTGAGTATTTGGGCAAGTACGAGCACTCGCCCAAATACTCTGTATCTGTGCATCTGGCCAGCTTACCAATCCTTAAGCCCAACTCCACTTAATAACCATCTCCATCCCTCCCTCCCTCTGGCTTCTAACCTATGCTGCTGGGTGTTTTTCTTACCTGGTGAAGCAAAATGATTCTAATGTCCCTCATTGGTACCTGGTGGGGACCTCTAATCCAGTGTTGCACAGTAAAGCTGGTATACACAGTTAGAATTTCATACAAACATTGGTATGAAAAATCCCATTCACACCAATTGTGACCCAACCCACCCCACAGTGCGATCGTTCCAGTCCACTGTGAATGCAAAAAATAGAGCATGCAGCATTTTTTGCATTCACGGTGGACCGGAACACAGGCAATGTTTTGCGAAGTGTCTAATCATACTGCGGGCTGGGGGGAATGGCTACAGTGCCATTGACTTCAATGCACTGCCACCTCAGAACGAAGGGGCAAGTAAGCGATTGCTATGTGTTCCAGCAGCTACCGCTCTGGAACGCATCACAATTGGTGTGAATTGGCCCTCAATGGGATGGTTGCATTAGTTTTCCTTTACTGTCACCTGCTGATCCGGCTAAGAGCAATGGAGCCACTCTTGTCATCCGGAGCAGAGAGTAGTGTTAGATGGACTTGTTTAATAAAGCTGAATTCCAAATAACACTTTTAAACAGTTGCAGTAACCAGTTCTTCCCCATTTGGGATAAGGGTTTTATATACATAAATAAAAGCTGGCAATTGTAAGCACCCCTGTCAGCGGTAGATGGTTTGTCCCAACCCTCAAGCTGTCATTGTTTTGCTGGACAGCTTGGTTTGCTAAGTGAAGTTGAAAAAGAACAGATCTCCTGTCCAGATTACCAGCCGCCACACGTATAGACTGGTAAGCTTTCACTTTAGCTGGAGGAAGTCCGGAAGAGGCTGGTCATTGCTCCGTGGCAATGTTCAGAATACAGACACACTCTGTATTGGAGATGACAGTACGCCATGCTGCGCACACTTCCTGTACCTTGTGAGAAGACCGCTGCCAATTCTGTAATCCGGACATTATAAGACTACAAGACTCTTGAATGTGACACAAGTGGTATATACAACCTGTAAGAGGTGGCCGGAACCGAGCAGTGTAATGGTGTGTCCGGGCCCCCGT